TTTTACTTTTTCATGATGAAAATTTCTTTGGAGAAAGACTACACAGCTCTGGCAGCAATGCAAAAAACATTGCCACCTACAGTCAATTGCACAAAAGGATTAAAACAAAAATAAAGATTAGAAGATATACTCAGTACTTCAAACAGATATGTATATTTTTTTCAAAGAAGACACAGCCCCTGTAAAGCATATAAAGACTAAAACATCTTCAGAAAGACCATGGTCCTGGTAAGATGACAGGAGTTTTCAAAACATGTAAAATTACCACTTTCGGCTGAACCTGAATCTAGGTAGGTCATTCTGGCAATAGGATGCAGAAGAAAATAATTTAAATTAAAGCATCTGAATGACTTTTTTACCCTGTGCATAATTCCAATTATTTGTAATGTTCATTCACATTGCTAAGCTGCCCAAACCAGCTACTGTATTCTTTAAAGGCAGCACTCGTTCTCAAAACAAGGCAGTAGGTGTGCTATAAGGGAATCAATTGCATACACCAATGATAAGTGATAATATATCAGCAAACACTCATAACGGCTGCCAACATAAGACGGAATTAGGAATTACATCAGAAATGTAGTCAACAGGAAAGTAGGTCAAAGCTGATATTCTTAATGATGTTTTTGCACAGGGCAACTTAAATTACAGCTAAATTCACATTTATGTGCAGTGCTTATTCTGTAGAAAGCAGTGGCGCCCAAATCCAGGGAGCCTGTGCTCTTGGGGACAAAGGCAGCCGCATAGCACAGGTCTCCAGCAGGGGATTAGCATGGAAAATAAAGCCGAGTCTGTCCGTGGGAACCAGCCAAGGCCTGCTCAAGCACTGAAGTCAGATAAGAATAATCACAGATTCACAGAATGGTTGAGGTTGGAAGGGACCTCTGGAGATCATCTAGTCCAACCGCCTTGCTCAAGCAGGGTCACCTAGAGCACGTTGCCCAGGATCGCGTCCAGACGGGTTTTGAATATCTCCAGGGAAGGAGACCCCCCAGCCTCTCTGGGCAACCTGGTCCAGTGCTCTGTCACCCTCACAGTGAAGAAGTTTTTCCTCATGTTCAGACAGAACCTCCTGTGGTTCAGTTTGTGCCCGTTGCCTCTTGTCCTGTCACTGGGCACCACGGAGAAGAGGCTGGCCTCATCCTCTCGACACCCTCCCTTCAGATACTTGTACACGTTGATCAGATCGCCTCTCAGTCTTCTCCAGGCTCAACAGGCCCAGCTCTCGCAGCCTTTCTTCAGAGGAGAGATGCTCCAGGCCCCTCATCATCTTTGTAGCCCCCCGCTGGACTCTCTCGAGTAGTGCCATGTCTCTCTTGTCTCTACTGGGGAGCCCAGAACTGGACCCAGGACTCCAGATGTGGCCTCCCCAGGGCTGAGCAGAGGGGCAGGATCACCTCCCTCGACCTGCTGGCAACACTCTGCCCCTCATGCACCCCAGGATACCCTTGGCCTTCTTGGCCACAAGGGCACACTGCTGGCTCATGCTCAACTTGTTGCCCACCAGGGCAACTTGTTGTCCTTCTCGGCAGAGCTGCTTTCCAGCAGGTCAACCCCCAGCCTGTACCAGTGCCAGGGGTTATTCCTCCTTAGATGCAAGACCCTGCACTGGCCTTTGTTGAACTTCAGGAGGTTCTGAAGGCCTTTGTGCAAAGCATTGGGTTTGTTTAATTTTTTTTTTTTTTTTTTTAAAGTGCCCACTCAGTTTAGATATGCAGCCCAAGTCAACTACCCTGCAGTAACTTCTAAAGAACAGAAAGCTTAAGCCACAAGTCTAACAATTTTGTAATGGTAAATATGGCCTACTGAAAAATAACAATGTCCTGAAATCTTTTAGGGCATCACACACAGCCTTTAAACAACTTAGCAAAGCTGTTTAAAGTAAAGCTACTACTTCCAAATACTCTATCTTTTCAATTTTTTCAATCAATTCTATGTTTTTGTATAAGCTTGGGTACACGTAAAAATTTTGAAGCAGAGTAGTTCAGTCTTCCTGTTAAAAAGTAATTACTCAAATTAAATTATTTAGGCTCTTTCTGTAACTGCAGTAGAAATTTGTGCAATTTTTTTTTTTTAATTTAAAAACTTGCTTATTGATTTTGTCCTTATCTAGTTAATGTCAGGAATAATATGCCTGCACTACTAAAAAATCCAATAAGTTTAAATAAATGTTATTTTTTGATAGGCTGAAAATTAAGCACAGTTACCAACACATTTTCCCATCCCAAGCAAATCTCTGTCAAACTTTCTTGCCTTCATCTTAGCTCAGCTCATCACATAGACCATCTGCACAAATAAAGATGTAAGCATCTGCTGTATGGCAAGTGGTCTCAGAGGCAGATGTTTTTATCCTTGCATTCATGTCACTGGCTTGGATACATTATTTGAACAGATGTACACAATCTGAAAGTGTCATGTCCCACAGTGAAATGTCTCCAACTGCTCTCTATCAAAGTGCATAAATGCTATTTGCACCTGCATTTATGTTAATGATATAAAGGCAGCAGGGGTTCCAAAAAGTGAGACTTGATGCTAAAGAAACACATTTACATGGTTAATTGAAGTTTGAGATTTCCTAGCTCCAAATAATCACTCTAACATTGACACACAACCTACTAAGCCATACACAATGATTTTTTTGAACTATACAATGATGTTTTTTGATTAAAATAAACATGCACAAGGAACAAAACTATGATCCCAATGTATATGAATATACTTTCCCCATATATACCATAAAACCACAAAACAGTACTAAACAAATTCCTAGATAAACTTGGACAGCCTTACCTACACAATTATTTCATGTTTGAGTTGTTTAACAAAAAAAAATTTTTTTTTTTTTTATAAATCTTACAATATCACCCATCTGAAGCTATTTCAGTCCTCTAACAAGCCAATAACCCACAGTGATATTTTGTGCAATTATGGAACACTACAAAAAAACTCAGAACTTGCAAAACAGCAAATATCAACACGAATGTGAATTACAGAATACAATGCTTCAGTGATTTCATAATTCCTAGGAAACAATTAAAATCTCAGATATTAAATATGTACCATTATTCAGAAAACTGCAACTTTTTGAACAGAGGGTTTAAATAGATTATTGTATAAATGACAGAGAATCAGTTTTCTTATAAAACATTTTAATTTGAGAAAAATGCATGTGCCCTGAAGGAGTACAGATTAAATTACAGAACTCTTGCTACTACATGACAAATGGTAGGAGAGAAGGATGTATGCTGTCAATCAAAGAATTTGCACTAATCATTACTTCCATACTCAGTTGAAAAATATCATGCACTTTCAAAGCACAGCAAGGCTGACAGAAACACTATCCTGTGCGTAAGTGACTGACAGGTTCTATTGCCAGTACCATTCATCTTTAAACTCTTTCTTTGTAAGAAATGTACCAACTTACAGTTGCACATAAATTATCAAAAATTGTTAACAGTCTCAGAAATTTAAAAGTGCAATAACACCCTTAAAAATAAAACTGATACTTATACAAGGGCAAAATAAGAATGATGGTAGAAGAATTCAAAAAAAATTTATTAAGACTAGTATAATGGTGCATATCATGATTCCAGAGTAATACAGCTGTTAATCAGGATCTGGTTATAATTTCCAACATGACACCCCACTTTCAAAGTTTAGAACATGGCTGCTATAATTCACTCTGTGTGAAAGTTGGTAACAGGATACTAACCGGAAGGATTACAAAAAAAGAAAATCCCAAAGTAAATGATTCATCAGTTTTAAGTCTGCAAATAGCTTCACAGTTTATATTTTTCCTCCAATTACTCAGAAATGGCTTTAATAAAAACAACATATTCAATTTGGCTACAAACTTCTCACATCTCTATTATTCAAGGAAAAGTTAAATTAAAACTTTTAAGGATTAGAATTAACTATTTTAGTAAAAAATAGATGGATGAGGAGCACAATACAAGATGGATGGCTTTACAGACCAGTCAGAAGTGCCTCCCTTGGAAGAATGGTCCCCTCAGACACAGAACTCATCAACTAAGATAACTTGCACAGTATCTCGGAAGAGTTTCCTCATAATTATTACAGTACCATAAAAATACTCAGTCTTCCCAAACAGGTAAACTATAAACTTACATGACAGTAAGAGCCCAAGGCTTCCACTTAAGTAATATACAGCACTTCTCTTTCTTCATTATTGTAACTACTGAAAATGGAAACTTAACTGGCAGCCTACAATGATTCTGAAAATCCATTATGGCTTACATCAAACATTCCCTCACATTTAAGGATTAACATTCAAAATGACATTCACATTAAAAAACACATTTAAACATTAGCATTGTGCAAAAGATCAGGAGGGAAAGGAAGTTAAAGTTAAGAATGAACATGTAGAGGCTTGGGTATATACAGTTACAGCACAAATATTCTTACTAATAATGGAAAAATTCAGACACTAACTACTGAAAAATCAACAAAAGACTTCTGAAGACACAAAACAGAGTAGAAATACAGTTAAACACAAAAAAATGTTAATAAGGATAGAACTGCTGGAGAAAAAGTACCTAAATGTAAGTTGATATTTACAAACTGTATTTTTTCTGGTTTGTGTTGGTCTTGTAATGTAACTTGAAAATTGCTCTATTATTTGACCCCAATTACATGGGGGTCAAATATGACTGATTTTCAAACATATTAGGATAAAATAAATTGCAATAAACCCTAGATATTTAATTCTGCTGAAGCAATTAAGAGGTAGAGCTACATATTTACAGTTTCAACTACAGGTGGTTAACAGTTATTAGTTATGTCCTAAACAGGAAAGCAATCTTAGCTATTGCAATTGTTTTAAGTGATAACTGCTACAGTATAATAGTTTTTTTTTTAAACCAAATTAGGTTAGAATAATAGACATGAGTTATAAAGTGAATTATTAACAATGACATTATTTTTCCCACATTTCAGGTCACAAACCTCTAATTTCTCACAAAAACATAGAAAGAATACTGTACCTGCAGATAAAGTTAATGGATTCTGCATTATGCCCTCTAATAGATACCACAATGTTCCTGGAAAGAAGAAATACAGACACTTAGAAGTTTTGACAGAAACTAAGAAAGTTAGTAATAAAGTATAATAAAGTATGATCAGATTAAAAAAAAAAAAAAGTACAATTTTGGAGAATTTTTTTTAAAATCATATTGAAGTTATTGAATATAAAGAGAAGAATCACAATTAAGGAGGCTATTTATTCTCATATGCACAAGTCAAATATCTTTTCTTTGTTATTTAATGAACTGCATTAATATATCCATTTACCAATACAGCAAAGAAAATCTTGTGTTATATTTCATATTTTGAGAGGTCTCAAACTACATTATAAGAACTGGACAAACAAGTAAGCAATTTATCACAGTAAGCAAAACTTTTCCTATCCAACACTCACAGTACAAGTATTGGCCAATGCAAAACTAAAAACTTTCGCATGTCCCAGCAGAGGTATTTCAAACTTGGCGTGAAAGGCCAATCTTTGCAGGTTATAATTAACTGTTGCTTTATCAAGTGATATCTTCAACATTATACTAGGTGTTGTATCACATTCAAGCCTTATACAGTATAGCAGAAGAAAAAAGTGAAGACGATACAAGCCAGTTCCAAAAGAATTACTCCAAAACAATCTGATCACACTGTTAACTTAGCACACACTTTTTCTGTGGCTGTTCACTTTATGAAGATCCTTCGACAATTTTTTTTAATTATTGTTATCACCTTGTAAGACAATGTAAATGTAACTTCCATCACATAAACGTTTCAAGCTATAGCATAACATACATCTTGAGGAATAAATGTTGTACAGCTCTAGAACTTTATTTAAATGATGGTAACTTTTGATCACTAAAAACTTTTGCTGAAGGGCAGAGGTCACAAGCAATAAATCATTACCACATAATCATCTGACCTATTCAATTTAACAAACCGACAGTAAACTCAGTATCAACATGTTCACAGTTGTATGCCTATTCGGTCTTCAATTTTAGTCAATGTATGTACTGAGACAGCATTCATGGGCCCACTAATACCACTATTGCTATACAATAATAATAATTCACTTTCAAACTCTAACCTTCTGGTTAGTGATTTTGTTTATTTATATTTTTAAAGCTATGTTTTACATGAAAAGGTAGTATCTGTCTCTCCTTTTGAGAAAGATCAGGATCTGTCTACTACAGCAGTAATTTTCCAAAACTATGTTCTTGGTATGGATCCCAGGATGCCCATATCTCATATGAACAACACTGGAGTTTTAAATAAAGCGTTTCTCAGGGTTACATATATGCTCATATGCACTCTTCATACTTCAAAAGTGGGTACAACTAACTTAGCTTTCTTGTAATTCAAAAGCCATTTTAAAGCAAAAAAGGAAGATACGTCATAAACTCCAAAGTGATAATGCATTCTGAACCATTGACAACGTACAGTTAAAGCAATCCTCTTCCTTCAAATATTTGCCTGCACGGATCCCATGGAGCTGACTGATGAGCAGAATCTTCCGTGGATCCTCAGATAAAGAATATTAGCTCACGTTTGTGAAACATACATTACAGTGCCATCTCTCCAGAACTGACATCGGTTCTTACACACTATTTGAGGCACAGAGTTTGACATAAACTAGTATTACATCAAGTAGTCACCCCGTCACTTAGAACTTGGCATATTTCCCTCCAGTGTAGTCAGTGTGCCGCTTGAGCTTTGGTCAAGTGTGACTTGACAGTCAATTATGTAAGATATAATGTAACATAAGGATAATATAAAATAATGATAATAATAAATTCTCTGGTTATTCACTTAGATGCTCATTGCCACAAGACAGTCTGGCTTTTGGAATGGCTGCCTTATAGCTTGGTTTTGCTCAATTTCACTAACATTAAAGTAAGACTCAGGAGTCACTCAGGGTATAAAACTCTTCACCTGATGGAGTCAGAGGCTATGGAAAGGCAACAAGACAAGTCCACTCACTGGCACAGATGAAACTCCAACTACTTGGGAGTTTACTAGGAACACGGAGTCCAGTATCATTGTGTATCTATAAAAATCCCCCTTGAGCAGAGCCAACTCTCAAGGCTCTGAGAGCCTTGAGAGTTTATCTGCTTTTGAGAGGTTTATCTATTTTCCCAGCCAATGTAAAACAGCAGTAGAATCATAAATATAGAACATTCCTGATGTGAGCTCAAGAGCCTCCTTCTCAGCGCACAAGTGTGAAAAGATTGGTTTTTAAATATAAAAATATTTAGGATGAGTTCTGTCACAATTACCAAACATAAAAGTAAGCCTTGAATACATTTCTTGTCTATCATGCAACTCATGACTCTCAAAAAGCAATGGTAAGATTCCAGGCAGGTGAAGGTTCCGTGGGGAGCAGTAACATATAAAAGAGGCAAAGTAACACCTTTTCCAGAAAGTTCAACACCAAAAGATTAAAAAAAAAAAAAAGCAGACCGTGGCTGCAGTGACGAATCCGCTTACACAGCAAACAGACAACGACCTTTAGTAGTCATACCTTCTGTGCTGAACCACATGCAATGCACACCTCTTGTACTTCAAGCAGTGAGTGCCTGGTGGCATAGGCTTCCTGATGCCTATCAGTTTATCCCGGTGTGGCTCAAAACGCCTCTGTCCGTGGTGCTTATGCAGCCAATGCGCAATGAGTCAGACGCCGCATACAAATGGATTTCGTCTCATCTAAACTCACGTGTCAGATCAGGCTAACATATCTAACATATACACAACTTCCTTTTCAACTATGACAATAAAACAGACCAATCTGACGTCAATTTGGAATGGCAAAACAGTTCTGGGAACCAGCGTGGATTTTCAACTTCTCAACCAGAGTGTAATGCCTCCTTTTTTTTTTTAAGGTGATAATTGCTCAACGAGGTCTTTTTACAGAACCAGTGTCTTCCTTCTGCTTTAGGGTTGCCAACACTTGAAAACATACTGAAGTAGTTATAACAATATATTCTTGTGAAAAACAATTTAAGAAGTAGGTGTTCAAATAAAGATTCTTAAAATCATTATTTCAGAGAAACATTTTCATAGATTTGCATATTCCTTCTGAGTTACAGCACATTAAACCATTTAAAAGGATGCCTCACTTATGGTTACTTGTTCCTCTTAGAATTACAACCAATAAGCTAGATTTGACAATATAGACCAATAATTGTTACAACACCATGTGGAAATACAAGCTCCACATCTTCCTCCGAGCATTCACAAACCTAATGCTAAACAGAGAGACTATACAAACCCAAACATTTTGTACAGACATCCCTGTTTTGAATCCAAACCTAATTGCAGAAAGATATCTCTCTTGACCTAGAAAACGCACTCATTTGACGGCTTAGTTCACTGATCAGCTACTGTCAGTGAAAAAAAATGCTTTATTTCTTAAATTAACTTTTCATCTTTTAGCCATTCATGAATTTTTTTTGTTATACAGAAGAGTCTTTCATTCCACTTTATTTTTTACAGACATTTAATAAAGTAACCCTCTTTTTGAAAAATGGAACAGCTCAAGATTTTGAAGTCAAGGCAAGATTCTTCCTACCATCCCTTCACATTTTTCTGTCATTAAATCTATGCCCACAATATTTCACTCGAGTTTGTAGTGAGATAAAGCTAATCTTGTTCCATATTTCCAAGGACTGTATTAGCTCCTTTTGCTGCAGCACTGCACTAGAAATTCACACTGAGCTCTAGTGCTAGGCATGGAACAAGTCCCACCTGAACTATACTAAGATATAACAACTAACGTTCATTCCCTATTGACAACTGCTAAGATCTTTCAGCCAGACTGTAACACATTGAGTGGATATTTAATATCTACAAACATTTGATGCATGTCCTAAATATATATTGAAGTTTATCAAAAAGTTCTGAAATTGTGACAGTGCACAGTACGGAAGTACAAGGTTATAATATCTATTCATCTATTCATGCCTCAACAGAATTTATAGTCAAATGAAAAAATTAAATCTGACCAGACGTGGCATTTTCCTTGGTTATGAATGGATTTCACAGCACTTGCGTATGATTGCAGTACAGGTTCTTTCCAAATACAAAGGGTGATACTGGAGGAATCTCATGGGGTAGGGCCCTAGAGGGAAGAGGGGTCCAAGAAAGCTGGTTATTATTCAAGCATCACCTCCTCCAGGCTCAAGATGGGTGCATCCCTCTGAGTAAGAAGTCCAGCAAAGCGGGCAGGAGACCTGCATGGAGGAGCAAGGAACTCCTGGCAAAACTCCAGCAGAAGAAGGAAGTCTACAGAATGTGGAAAAGGGGACAGGCCACTCAGGAGGAATACAGGGACGTTGTCAGAGTGTGCAGGGATGCGACAAGGAAGGCTAAGGCCCAGTTGGAATTAAATCTGGCAAGGGATGTCAAGGACAACAAGAAGGCCTCCTTCAAATACATCAATAGCAAAAGGAAGACTAGGGAAAACGTGGGCCCGCTGCTGAATGGGGCGGGTGCCCTGGT